AAGAGAACTGATAGATGAATTAAAGTTACAGTTATTATAGATGAATTAACACAGAAACAAGTCAACTCGCTAAACGGCATTGGGCAATCAGTACAAGATCTGCTTTCCGAAGTACACTTAAAAAATAACTAACAAACGTTGCATTTTTGTTCAGGGATCCTTTAACTAGGTTGTCAATGGCAATGCTACTGCTAGTTGCATTAATTTTCTTTCAACAATGAGTCCATAAAATTTGAAGGCTACAAAATATGTAAGCCCTTCTAAGGAGAAGTAAATAGTGAAGAAAAGGAGAGAAACTAAATAGCTCTTTTAAGTTCTAACACATTCCAAAGTTTCCAATCAGAAAACAAACATATACCAAATCCTTCCCTCTTTCAGATTGAGCAAAAACGGGTCATGACAAGAATAGAATTCAAGATAGTATAAATGGGATAAAGGTTCTAATTTTGATTTTGAATCTGAAATATTTGAGTCAACGCACTTCTTCATGACACAAGATGACTTGAGAAAAAGAACATTTGCCACTTTAGTTCTCAACTTGAAGGGAAACAGTCGATGCAAGACAACTTGAGAAGTACATATCTCACCTTAAAATTAACTTATTCAAGTATATTTGAAGTAATACGAACAAAAACAGAACAAATGGAAGGTTATCAAACATGGGATACTTACCCATCATTTCAAACTTCACTTTGTTTTTATGCTCACTCCATCTTTCCCAGCAATTATAACAGCAGTTGCCATGTCTAAAAACAGCCCATGCTCAACAACTCCTTCAAATGCTGAGATCTCTTCTCCTGCTGCGTTTGCTTCCTTGATCGGCGTCTTGAAGTACAAATCCACAATATAATTTGAGTTATCAGTGACATATGGCTTCCCATCTCCATCCAACCTCAACTTAGCTTCACAACCTTCGTCTTTGAATAATTCTTGCAACCTCACAAGATTATATTTCCAACAGAACTGGACAACTTCCACGGGCATTGCCAGCCCACTTCCTCCTAAACCAGTTACGAGCTTTGTCTCATCTGCAACCACGACGAACTTATCTGATGCAGCCTCAACCATTTTTTCACGAAGAAGAGCACCTCCACGTCCTTTTACAAGATTTAGGTCTGGATCAACCTGTTGGTCACAAATCATGATAAAACAAAGAACACAAAATGATATGATTACTCAAGTACAGGCAACAATGTATAACAGTAAACTCACTTACTCCATGTTAAATATAAAAATAATGTCCTCATTGACTATGTGATAGCCAACGGGCTATGTGAAAAAAACAGAAGGTCATGCGACAGAGTGAGACCCTGGTAAGCCTATGTTAGCCCCTATCTAAATGATAGAAAACAGACATGGCATTAAATCTTATCATTCCTCGAGTAAAGGAAAAAAGAAAAAGATAACAAGAGATATAGATGTGGTGTTTTAATCAGCACTTTAACAAGTTGGATTCATCACTGAGTTAACATGAACAAGATCATAGGTAACGTTACGGCAAGTAACTCCAGAGATAGTATTGGCCCCCAATCCCATCTAAATCAGTCAAATTAAACACTTCTAAATTAACTATCTCAAGTTTCTCTCGGACAGCTCTAATGGTCCTATGGTTTTGCGATGACAGTCATTTCATTTCAATGATGTCATTTCCTGAAGAAAACTTAATACAAAACCTAGATGCAATTCTTCTACCTACCAATAAAGTCATAAGGAACGATCTGAACAACTAAAAATGCCAACTTCCCCCGAAGCACAGATATGAAGTACAATGACTAAAATTTGCAACTTTCGCTCCAAAACGCTCACAAAGAACTCAAGCTTTCTCAAAAAAAAAAAAATCAACACCACCAAGAGTCAACTGTCTCAACAAGCTAGATTCGCAATTTCCATTCCTGAAACGCGACAATAACACTCTAAACACCTAAAGAAACGAACTTTTCTCAGAAGTCAAAATCACAAACCTCATCAGCCCCATCAATAGCAAGATCAATCTTCGGGTGATCATCCAGCGTCGACAACGGAATCCCAAGCGACTTCGCCTGCTCAAAAGTCCTCGTCGACGTCGGCACCCCAACAATCCCCGTCAGCGCTCCGCTCGACAACAACGCCCCAATCTCAGCAACGACGAAAGCAGCGGTGGAGCCAGTCCCAAGACCAAGAACCATATCGCTCTTCACATACTCGACGGCCTTGACGGCGGCGAGCTTTTTGAGATCGTCCTGAGTGAGAGCGGTCGGAGTTGGGGACGATTGGCATCGGACTCTGTGAATTGGGCGGTGGAGGCTGGGGAGAGCATGGCGGAGTTTGAGGGATTTGAGGGAGGAGGAGGGGAGGAGAGATGAGGTCGAGAGATGAGGTCGCCGCCATTGGAGAGGAGAAAGGAGAGATTTTTTTATATATATTTTTTTCCGTGGTAGTGGAGAGAGGAATTAGGGTTAGGGATTTGGGGATGGGGGGTTGGTGGTGGGTTTTTGACGAAGGGGACTTTTGTTTTGGATATTGGTTGGCTGTCGAGGGGAGGAGAGGGGAGGGTTAAAGGATGAGGAGGGAGATGGCCCGATGGGGTTTGAAAATGGTCGCGCTGCGATGTTTACTTTTGGCGGTTTTTGTATTTAGTCCCTCACATGTTCAGTAATTTCATATGAGTCTGTAGCCTCTTTGAAATTGGTGGTAAGTACCTCAAATCTTAAGGGGTCTTGCAAATTCGGCCCTTGGTGACAAAAATGCCATATGGGATCAATTTGCAAAAGCATTAGGGAATTAGGGGCCAATGAGCAATTTAGCAGATTTGAGGGAATAATATGAATTATTGAATATTTGAGGGATAAATATCTAGAAAACTCTTTGCCTTTCGGTGCAGCGATATTTGATGAAGTGCAGAGCATGCGACCGTATGAACTAGTGGAGAGCGCAAATGGGCCGTTCAGTCGGTTTTGACTATTTTTTATTAAGGGGCTGTTTGGTTCGTTTTTTAGATATAGGAAAATGCATTTTTATGTACAAAAACACAAGTTTTAAGTTTTTTAAACTTTTTCAAGAAATAGATTGTTTCGCTTTGGTTCGCACAAAAAAATGGTGGGAAACCAATGTATCTATTTTTCTTGTGTTTGGTTCGCATGGAAAAAAAGGGAAAACTTTTGTTTATATGGCAAAAAGCTGACGTTCTTGTGTTTGGTTCGCATGGAAAAAAAGGGAAAACTTTTGTTTATATGGCAAAAAGCTGACGTGGCTGTAGTTTTCGTCGATTTCACGATTTGTTTATATGGCAAAAAGCTGACGTGGCTGTAGTTTTCGTCGATTTCACGAGGTTGAGGAAGGAATTGAGGAAGATAAAAAAATCTGATGTGGCGGCGATTTTCACCGAGTTTCCCTTCTTCAACCCTAGCAAACCAAAGATGGAAAAAAAAACCGACGGAAAGCTTATATCCTACGTGGCCACGAAAAATTTGATGTGGAGGCGGTGTAAAACTTTTCCACCGAGTTAAAAAATGAACCAAACAGCCCCTAAATCGAAGCGAATTGAAGTAGATTGAAAATCAAATCAAACCAAATAAAATAAGTTTGCTATTAGGCTTAGACATCAAGTTAGAGCTATATTAGCTCAAAAAAAAAGAAACAACATTATTCCTCATTCATTCCGTCTCTTGCACTAAGTTAAAAGACCAAACTCGTTAAATCAACTAGTTAGGAACGAAAGTTTAAATTATTACCAATTATGATATGTAGAAATATTAGTTTAAAAATTCTTATTCACCATCAAAGAGCGTGGGTTTTAGTGAATTTTGTTGGGACGGTTGGTTAGGTTATTCCGTTTGAAGTACCAAATAGAATAGTATTTTTTTAAACCAAACCAAACAGTCCTTTCAGTCAGTTTAATCAGTTTAAATCAATTAATGCTCATCGCTAGTATAAACTCAAATATTATTAGTAGAAATATGTGGAAAAAAATCAGAGTGACTGCTTATTTTTTAAGCCGATCTATATAGACGTAGGCAACTTGCCGAACTATGTAAAATTCGTTTTTTTGTATTTGTGCCGTTATTTTGGATTGTTTGGCCTTCTCTCTCGGCGTTTGTTTTGGTTCCTCGAAGCACAACAAGTTGTATCAGAACTCAGGCTACGCTTGGGATTAAGTGGATGAGTATATCGCATTAGAAGCTCGTCTAGGGTTTCAATTGGAGATAAAAGTGGGATTTTTACTATTGTGGATCTTGTCTCCCGTCATGTGAGGGTGAGATCTTCTGGAGGCTCTTATTAGGGTTTCAATTGAAGGTAAAAAAACTAACTTTCTCACAGTTTGGATCTATCTTTCAGTTTGTTCTATATTAGTTTGTTGGTGTTTTGAGGAAAATGGTTGGGAAAGAAGGTGTTGAGAGTGGTTCTTTTGGCGTGAAGACCGTTCAAAGAAGGTGTTTTAACCAACTAGGTATATTTTTTTACTGTGGCGACAATATGATATATTTTGTACAAAATGGTGACAAGTATCCCCTTTTTTTTTGCCACAGTCAAATTACGGCGAGATTAGTCACAAAACCACACACATGTGTCCTATATGGCTTCCAGCATGGGCGGTAACTAGGTTGAGATCTATGGTTGAATGAGTATTTCTTTTTTCACGTTAGGACTCAAAAGAGTCAGTGTTCGATCTGAGGTGTTTTTTTCCTCCTAGGATTAAATTGGATTAGAGCATCTTAAATTTAACCCTAGGAGAGCTTAATATTGAGGAACATATCTTTAATTTCATTTGCCCTAACTCATTTTAACCCTAGAAGGAAGAAGAACATCTCTGTCACGCCCCGCTTCCCAAAGTACCCGAGAATTGGCACGCCAGCAAGCCCGCGATGTATCAGACTGAGAAGAAATAAGTACTAGACCGTTTCTGCTCAATCTAATACGCTAAGCATCAAACAATATAATGCGAAGTCATAAGTCCCCGATCATAGTTAGCAAGAATATAATAAACAACTCAGAACAAAATAATCCATATCATAAAAGAAATATCATCCAAGACATAATACTCAGGTCATACATGCCATAATACAAAACTATCCAACTAAATACTGGAGAAAATATAAAAATACATCGACCCAATGGGAATGGAAAGTGTTACAAGGTAAACCAAAGACTAGCAACTAATTAAAGAAATAACTAAGCTTCGGTTTCTACTCTGTCTGCAAGGCACTCCTGCTGAGAATACTATAGCTCTTGCACGTCTCCAACCTGAACATGTCCGACCTCTAATTTTGACGTACAACCCGAGAGAACAGGAGTACGTCAGCGTGCATGGCACACGGTAAGATCCCACAAGGAAGAATAGAAACGATCGAACGACCAATGCAATAACAGCATGCAACTGGAATTCGAACAATCTAGATGCAATTCACCACTAGAGTATAATAATCAGAAGAATCCAAAAATCAACCAAGTAACGAGGTTAAGTAGCTAGCCATCCTACAATAGATCACTGATCCACATCTCAAATAAAGTCAACATTCATATTATCGGTTAACTGACTGTTCACAAATCCTCTACGTGCATCCAAACCCGTGAAATGGTTCGTGAGAGGACTACACACAATCTAATTTCGGCCTGGTCCGAACTCAAGTAAAACTCGGGTGACGAAACGAATTCACTGACCAAGTACGAAAGGATTCACTGGCCCAACAGACCAACCCCAGTGCGAAACGGTTCACTTGTGCAAGTCTGAAAGATTGATCAACAACCACATTCGATCACATGAACCAAGACCTTCTTATCCCAACATTTCTTGTGTTTCTAAGTCAACACACACACACATGTCTCTAGGTCTTGTTCATGATGCGCAAGGGTCACTAAGTCATGAACTCCTATTGAACACACACACACATGTCTCTAGGTCTTGTTCATGATGCGCAAGGGTCACTAAGTCATGAACTCCTATTGGTTCTCAAACACGACAAGGAGTAATAAATATCATGATGCGCAAGGGTCACTAAGTCATGAACTCCTATTGGTTCTCAAACACGACAAGGAGTAATAAATATAACTAATTCTATACAATAATATCATGGCATGTCAAATATATTAAAATAAAGGTCGTAAAACATGAACATTAACTATGAACGGTATGATATGTATGAATAGTGATTGTGAATAGTATATGCATGCAAACTGATTTCATCAATATCTTACTATTCAGATCTCTAAACTTCTCATGAAATTATTCTAAAATAATCTTTTAAAATAATAAATTTATTTATTTAAAATAATCCTTTGTAAAATAAATTCTTTTAATTTATTCCTCATTATAATAATCCAAAATAATCTCTTTTCCAAAATAAAATCTTTAAAATATTTATTATTATAATAATTTAAAACAATCTTTTTTTCCAAAATAAATTCTTTTAAATTATTTATCATAATCAATAATTCAAAATAATCTTTAAAAAAATATTTTTTTTTCAAAAACATCTCATAATTAATCATAATCCAGTTTTCAACATATCCACTCATCGTATATGGGCTTAGAAATACATATTATGCTCATCACTTCGCAGATATAACTACAACGGTATTATTTATTATATTATTATTATTTAATATCATTCATCAACAAATCCACGCAGATTATCACAATATACCCTACAACATAATCATATTACATCCAGATTATGCACATAATTAATTCACAACAGATCTAAAAATTATAATGACTAGTCAATAAGAAAAGGATCTTGCTTTGGTGACATCAAGTGTGTCATAGAGGGGCAGTGGGGGTCGTCGGGGTGGCTGCACGGGTCACAACGGGTTCCGCGGGCTCGCCGGAAAGTTAATCGATTAGAATACAAAAGAGAAGTGTTAGTAACGATGAGCGATATTCGAAGCGATATAACGAAAGTAAGACAATATGCCCAAGCGAGAGGGATATATTGTGTGATAGACAATATAAAGAGCTACACACCGACGAAGACAGTGGTGAAAACGGAGACCGGAGGTGATCGGAAAGCGCGTGCGAAGTCGGCACAAAACTGTCAGAATCTGTGAACTGCTTGTCGTCAAGCGTTTCGGATGATACCAAGAGAGATAGAGAGTGAGTTAGAGCATGATACAAATTGAAGGTGATAGACAACATATAAGTCTACTCACCGGAGAAGAAATCGATGGAAACGGAGGTCGGAGATGATTAGAAAGTGCGTGTGAAGTTAGCACAAAGCTGCAGTTTTCTGCAGTGCAATTGCTCACCGATCAGGCTTGTCCCTCACTGTTCGGAGCCTTTCCCCACTGTCTGGGATTGCCAGAGGTGTGAGGAGGTTGTCGGGGTTGAGATTGTCAACTAGAGGTGGAGTTGCAGGGAGGAGTTGAGGAGCAGGAGTTGGAGGAAGAGATTAGAGTGAGTGAGAGATGGAGTTGGAGAGAGAGAACCTAGAGAAGAGATTTGTAAGAGAGGGAGATGTAGCAGGGGGAAACACGAGGGAGGGGGTGTGTGGGAAATAAGGAGGAAAATAAGGAAGTGGAGGTAGAGAGGAGAGATGAGAGATTTGAGAGAGAGAGAGAGAGAGACAGAGTGGTTAAAGGTGAGAGAGGAAA